TCCTCCTCCTCCTCCTCCTCCTCCTTCTCCCCCTCCTCCTCCTCCCCCTCCGCCTCCCCCATCCTCCGCCTCCTCCTCCCCCAGCTGGCCGCCGTCTTACACGAACACTGCCAAACCCGACGGGCTGGCATTTTCCGAATTCCACTTCGTGCAACTTTCGAAGGGGGAAATAGTATTTTCCCCAACCCTCCTTGGTTGGGTATGCGTTGTGAATAGAGCAGTGTGGTCTCCATTTCCTCCTTCCCGTCCCGTCTCCTTCTTGCCTCCTCCTGTCTTGCTTGCGGGGGGCTGCGATCTGTGAAACTGTCGCCACTTTCGAGGCCTGCTGGGGGGCCCAGCACAGTGACGCCACGGGCGGACCCAAATTAGACCTCGCCATCCCTGGGGGGCTGCGATCTGTGAAACTGTCGCCACTTTCGAGGCCTGCTGGGGGACCCAGCACAGTGACGCCACGGGCAGACTCAAATCAGACCTCGCCATCCCTGGGGGGCTGCGATCTGTGAAACTGTCGCCACTTTCGAGGCCTGCTGGGGGGCCCACCACAGTGGGTACACACCGCGGACTCAAATTAGACCTCGCCATCCCTGGGGGGCTGCGATCTGTGAAACTGTCGCCACTTTCGAGGCCTGCTGGGGGGCCCAGCACAGTGAGGGCCACGGGCGGACCCAAAATAGACCTCGCCATCCCTGGGGGGCCGCGATCTGCGAAACTGTCGCCATTTTCGAGGCCTGCTGGGGGGCCCAGCACAGTGAGGGCCACGGGCGGATTCAAATTAGACCTCGCCCTCCCTGGGGGGCTGCGATCTGCGAAACTGTCGCCATTTTCGAGGCCTGCTGGGGGGCCCAGCACAGTGAGGGCCACGGGCGGACCCAAATTAGACCTCGCCATCCCTGGGGGGCTGCGATCTGTGAAACTGTCGCCACTTTCGAGGCCTGCTGGGGGGCCCAGCGCAGTGACGCCACGGGCAGATTCAAATGAGACCTCGCCATCCCCTGGAGGCTGCGATCTGTGAAACTGTCGCCACTTTCGAGGCCTGCTGGGGGGCCCAGCACAGTGACGCCACGCGCGGACCCAAATTAGACCTCGCCATCCCTGGGGGGCTGCGATCTGTGAAACTGTCGCCACTTTCGAGGCCTGCTGGGTGGCCCAGCACAGTGACGCCACGGGCGGACCCAAATTAGACCTCGCCATTCCTGGGGGGCTGCGATCTGTGAAACTGTCGCCATTTTCGAGGCCTGCTGGGGGGCCCAGCACAGTGACGCCACGCGCGGGCCCAAATTAGACCTCGCCATCCCTGGGGGGCTGCGATCTGTGAAACTGCCGCCACTTTCGAGGCCGTCTGGGGGGCCCAGCGCAGTGACGCCACGCGCGGACCCAAATTAGACCTCGCCATCCCTGGGGGGCTGCGATCTGAGATCCCCGCTGTCGAAGTGGCTAGGGTTGCTCAGGGACTGCAACTAATCAGCTTTATCTAGTCCTTGTCCTGAAGCCAGTTTCCTGCGAGTCTCCCGAATTCCGTCTGCAGACATATGTAACCCTCGCTCCGTCATCGCCCCCCTTATAAAGTGTCCTAGACTATTTGCGCCCCGCGTTTGCGCAGGGGTTGGGTACGTCGCCAGGGTAATTTTTCGTTCCCGGGCGTTGGCACGGGACGAGTTGAATGATACATTTGCGTTGCAATCGATTGCAATCCATTGGATTCCAAACGATTCGATTGCAATCCATTGGATTGCAATCGATTGGATTGCAATCGGTTGAATTGCAATCGATTCAATCGATTGGATTGCAGGGAAGGGACAGGACGGAAGGGAGGGAGGGGAGGAGAGGGAGGGGAGGGAGGAGATGGAACGAAGGGTGTGGAGGGAGGGGAGGGAGCGGAGGGAGGTGGGGAGGGGGATTGCAGTGGAATGGAGTGCAATCGATTGCAAGCGATTCGATTGGGATTTTCGATCGTCGATCGTTGATCGTCGATCGTCCATCCTCGATCGTGGATTGTTCATTTTGGATCGTCGGCGAAAGGGAGGGCGGAGGCTCCGGGGGCTGGGCGGCCAAAGGGGGCAAGGGGGGGGGGCAAGCTTCCAAGCCCCCCCCCCCTTTGGCACAAAGGGGGGGAGGGGGGTGGGAGCTTCCAGCAGGGCGGCTCCAAGGGAGGGGGGCGGTAGCTTAAGCACCCCCCCGGGGGTAGGGGGGGGTAGCTTCCGGGGCGGCCAAAGGGGGGTGGGGGGTGGGTAGCTTCCAAGCACCCCCCCCCCTTTGCACGAAAGGGGGGGAGGGGGGGGGTAGCTTCCAGCAGGGCAGCGCCAAGGGAGGGGGGGGGTAGCTTAAGCACCCCCCCCTTTGGAAAGGGGGGGAGGGGGGGGGTAGCTTCCGGGGAGGGCCCAAGGGGGGAGGGGGGGGTAGCTGTAAGCCCCCCCCCTTGCAAAAAAAAGGGGGGGGGGGGGGGGTGCTTCCAACAAGGGCGGCTCAAGGGAGGGGGGGGTAGCTTAAGCCTAGCCCCCCCTCCCCTTTGCTCGGGCCCTGTGGGCGCGCTCTCTCCAAGCTATCGGACCATGTGTTCCCCGAATCGGTTTGGAAAGCGTTCGGGGAACACGGTGGGCGAGGCTGGGCCGACTTGGGACCTTCTTGGAATGCTCCAGGGCCGTCTTGAGCGTCTTGGAGGCCTCTTGGGCCGTCTTGGGGGCCTCTTGGGGCCGTCTTGAGGGCCTCTTGGGCCGTTCTGGGGCCAGACTGGAGACCTCTTGTGCGATATTTGGGGGGCTCTTGGGCCGTCTCGGGCCGTCGGAAGGCCGAACGAAGAGCAAATGCCACTATCCTTCAAAAACTCATGGGATATCAATGATTTTGGCCTTTTCGGGCCTTCCTGGAGGCCCTCTTGGAGGTCTCTTGGGCCGTCCTGGACCATCTTAGGGCCATCTTCGGCCGTCTTGGTGGGCTCCTGGCCCGTCCGACGCCGTCGGAAGCCGTTTGGGGGGCCTCTCTGGGCCGACTTGGGACTTTCTTGGAATGCTCCAGGGCCGTCTTAGAGGCCATCTTGGGCATCTTAAAGGCCTCCTGGGCCGTCTGGGGGGCCTCTTGGGGCCGTCTTGGGGGCCTCTTGGGCCGTTCTGGGGCCATCTTGGAGGCCTCTTGGGCGATCTTGGGGCGATCTTTGGGGGCTCTTGGGCCGTCTCGGGCCGTCGGAAGGCCGAAAAGAAGGAAAGGCAAAACTCCTCCAAAAACCTATGGAAACACACATGATTTGAGCCTCTTCGAGCCCTCCTGGGGGGCCCTCTTGCAGGCCTCTTGGGTCGTCTTGGGCTAGCCTAGAGCCAACTTCGGCCATCTTGGTGGGCTCCTGGCCCGTCTGACGCCGTCTGAAGCCGTTTGGGGGCCTCTCTGGGCCGACTTGGAGCCTTCTTGGGGTGCTCCAGGGCCGTCTTAGAGGCCATCTTGGACGTCTTGGAGGACTCTTGGCCCGTCTTGGGGCCCTCTTGGGGCCGTCTTGGGGGCCTCTTGGGCCGTCATGGGGCCATCTTGGAGGCCTCGTGGGCGATCTTAGGGCGATCTTGGGGGCCTCTTGGGCCGTCTTGAGCCGTCGGATTGCCGAGAAGGCAAATCCCAAAATCCTTCAAAAACTTTTGGGAAACCAATGATTCTGGCCTCTTCGAGCCCTCCTGGAGGACCTCTTGGAGGCCTCTTCGGTCGTCTTGGGCCGTCTTGGAAGCTTCTCGGGCTATCTTGGACCATCTTGGAGGCCATCTTGGGTCAACGTGGCCATCTTGGAGGCCATCTTGGGCCGTCTTGGAGGATTTGTTGCGGACGTTGAGGTCGTTTGCGGGCCTGGAGCTCCCTCCCGGGACCCCAGCGGGACAGGCCGAAGCCCCAGGGGAGTTCTGTTGGAAAAGAACCAAAACCAATACCGAAATCGTCCGTAGCCATTTTGGCTCAAGCCATTTTGGTTTAAGCCATATCTGCTAAAGCCGTATCAGTGACCACCGCGACCCCAAGAGGCAAGACTGCAATGGGTTGCGGCGCTTCTGTCGCTCAGGCCCCTGCGTCGCCCCCCCCCCCGCCCAAGATGTTCAAGGCAGGTCTGCTCGGCATCCTCCGGCTCGACTACGGCTACCCGCCGGCGCCGGGTGACATCGACTCGCCGCTCTCCTACGACTACAAGGTATTGTACCGCGTCATTCCGGGGCTCACGTTCGAGATGTGCCAGTCTGGCATGGTGGCGGACGAGGTCCAGGATGAGCTCAAGACCGCGGTCGACTGGCTCATTAGCAAGGGCGTCAACGGCATTACGGGCGATTGCGGCTTCATGATGTGGTTGCAGCCAATGATCCGCAGGATGGGCTGCACCAAGATTCCCGTCTTCATGTCCTCGCTCGTGCAGCTGCCAGCGATTACACGTGCTTATGCAGACGATGAGAAGATCGCCATCTTCACCGCCAACGGCAAAACGCTCGACCCGATGAAGGATTTGATCAGCGACGAGTGTGGCATCGACACGCACGATGAGCGGTACATCATCGTCGGCTGCGAGGACGTGCCCGGCTTTGAGGCGGTCGCACTCGGAGAGAAGGTGGACGTGCCGAAAGTGACGCCTGGGATTGTCGAGAAGGCCAAGAATGTCCTCGCGGAGCACCCTACCATTCGCGCGATCTTGCTGGAGTGCACCGAGCTGCCTCCGTACTCGGACGCCTTACGGAAGGCTACGGGCATCCCCGTTTACGACGCTATCACTTCCTGCAACATGTTCATGGCGGGCGTTCAGGACAACCCGCGCTTCGGCATCAACGATTGGCAGGCTGAGTTTGACGGCGTGCAGGATGACTACATGTTCGGCAAACACCTCACTCTCGAAAGCCGGGCAAGGGCTGCTAAATCCGTGGTTGCTAGAATCGACCTCCGGGAAGTTGTCTTCGTCCTTCCGGGAAGAAGCCCGTTGATTATTTCGCGTGCCGCGCCTCATTCCTGGAAGTTGTTTTTTCCTTCTGGGAGGGCCGTTTTAGCAGCCTTCGCCCAGCTTTCGACACTCGCGCGCAGACTCAAAAACTGGTCAGCAGCCCCAAACCCGCGAAATAGTAAAGCGAGGCACGCGAGGTGCACATTCTGTCTGAACCTTCTCCCCCGAAGCTCGGGGGGGCATCTGCGCATGCGCAGCAGCAGCAGCGACCTGAGCAGCCGAAGCTCTGCCCGCGCGGCCCGTGTCCCAGCTGGACGTGGCGGCACTGCGGCACTCACTGCCAGCTCGCTACTTCCAACCCGTGTACGGTAGGTTTGCGTCGTGTCGACCAGCGGCGACCCCAGCGCGGGCGTTCAAGGTTGAACGCCGCGGGCGACCCAGAATCGATCGATGTTGAACGATCGGACGTTGCGGCAGCGGCCGATCGTTCAAGGTTGAACGATCCCTGCGGTGTCAAAAACCAACGCTGGGGTCGGCACGACACGAACCTGCCGTATTCTCCTCCTTCTCCTCCTGGGAACCCCTTCGCCTCCCCCCTTGTCCTCCCGCTCCCTCCGGGCCCCGAGTGGCCTCTCTTCGCGCGCGCCCCAGCGCTATCTGGGCCGGATGGCCGAGCTCTCGGGGACCTTTCGTTTGCAGTGCCGTTTTTAAGGCACGCTCCGCGTGCGGATCATGTGTTGAACATGCGGGGATCTAGTACCAAAAACCACGACGAGTTCATGCATAAACGCATGCCTAAACTAGTCATGTATCAAAATCTTAGGTAGGGCGGGGGAAGCAGAGAGGGTGCGTGCACGGCATGGCGCGCGCGCTGCCAGAGCTCTCTCTCGAGTGCTCCCGTGGGGGGCAGGGAGACGAGCGAGACCTCCAACAAAAAGAAACCAGCGGGCCTACAGCTCACCAAATTCGGTGAAGCACGTCGGTTTGTTTTGGCTGCATTGCTGGACTTTTCGCAACTTGCCCGTCGAAGACGGGGATGAGGATGACGATCCGCACAAGAAAAGGATGAGGCCCATCTGGGGGGGGGGGAGGTGGTGGAGGGCGAAGCACAGTCGCTGGCAGGAGCCCAAGCTTCCAGAGGTCGCGCGGGAGGCCCTCGCGCATTAGCACAATAGACCTTCGGCCAGCACGTTGGTTGTTTTTGTTTGGCAACCCCAGAGGTGCCATAACTTTGCGCATGAGATGTGCCCCACTTGGAGCAGTCCAGCGCCAGTTTTTTATTTGCAGACGGTTGACGTCTTCACATTTTTTCACCGAGCAATGTGCGTGCTCTGCATCGCAGCAGTAGCGGTCAGGAGTGAGTTCGAGTGGTTGGAGCCATCGCCGCTACCTTGACCCACCAGCGTTGTGTTCTGCACCCAGACCTCGGATTTTCTCCAGTGATTCGTCGCCCAGTCGATTCCTGCGATAAATCGACAGGGGGCGGCGGATCGAACACGCCTACGGCGAATCACCGCCGCCCCCTGCCTTTTTGGAAGCGCCTATGTGGCCGAACGTTGAGACCAGACCTGCCAAGCTATCGGACCATGTGTTCCCCGAGTCGGTTTGGAAAGCCTTCGGGGAACACGTGGGCATCTTGAAGGTCATCTTGGCCGTCTGGAGGCCATTTTGACCCTTTCGGGCCGTCTCGGAGGACGTCTTGGAGGGCTCTTGGGCCGTCTTGGAGGCCATCTTGAGCGTCTTGGAGGCTTATTGGGCCGTCTTGGGGGCCTCTTGGGGCCGTCTTGGGCCTTTCGGACGATCTTTGGGGGCACTTGGGCCGTCTCGGGCCGTCGGAAGGCCGAACGAAGAGCAAATGCCACAATCCTTCAAAAACTCATGGGATATCAATGATTTTGGCCTTTTCGGGCCTTCCTGGAGGCCCTCTTGGAGGCCTCTTGGGCCGTCCTGGGCCATCTTAGGGCCATCTTCGGCCGTCTTGGTGGGCTCCTGGCCCGTCCGACGCCGTCGGAAGCCGTTTGGGGGGCCTCTCTGGGCCGACTCGGGGCCCTCTTGGAATGCTCTAGGGCCGTCTTGGAGGCCATCTTGGGTGTCTTAAAAGCCTCCTGGGCCGTCTGGGGGGCCTCTCTTGGGGCCATCTTGGAGGCCTCTTGGGCGATCTTTGGGTGATCTCTGAGGGCTCTTGGGCCGTATCGGGCCGTCTGTAGGCGGAAACGAAGAAATGCCAAAATCCTTTAAATACATCAGGAAAACCATGTTTTGTTGGCCTTTTCTGGCCTTCCTGGAGGCCCTCTTGGAGGCCTCTTGGGCTGTCTTGGAGGTATCTTGCGAGCCTTTTGGCCCGTCTGAGGCCATCTTGGAGAGATCTTGGGCCGTCTTAGAGGCATCTTGGGACCGTCTGAGCCGTCTTGGAGGCCATCTTGCAGGCATCTTGAGGGCCATCTTGGCCGTTTTGGAGGCCATCTGGAGCGAAAAATCGACGGGGTAGTGATCTTCCGGGTGGCCGGCGGGACGGGCCGAAGCCCCAGGGGGAGTTCTTTGGGAAAAAGAACCAAAACCAAAACTGAGAGGATCTGGCACGCCAGGCATCCTTGCGATGAATCGACAGGGGGCGGCGGATCTAGTGGCCTGCGGCCCATCCCGCCACCATGCCTGGGTAGTGGGTCGGAGTCCTCATGCGTGCCTCGTGGGTTTTCTTCGGAGAGCTCTCGGGCGCGTCTGGAGGCAGTCGCGTGGGAGCCTCTTAGGCTTTTTGGGGGAGATCTCTTGGGGCTTCCTGGGTGCCCCTTGGAACCTCCTGGGGCCTCTTGGGGTGGTGAGCTCGAAATTTGAGTTCGCGCTTCCTCCCTGAGGCCCTTATGGGGCGTTCTTGGAGCTCTTTGGGGCCGTCTTGGAGGCCTCCGCCTTGGGAACCTCTTGAGCCTTTCTGGGGGCCTCTTAGGCCGTCTGGGGGTGATCTTTGGGGCCTCTTAGGCCGTCTGGGGGTGATCGTTGGGCCGAACTCGTGTGTTTGATGGGAGGCCTTTGGGGGGGCGTCTCTGGGGCCGCCAGGATACGAGGAATCCTCGACCATGCTGGCCGAAAGTCCGTCGGCGCTGCCGACGTACAGCCGGCCTTTTGCCTTGGCCACGCGGCTTGCCGCCTCGAAGACAACCAAGTGCTCTTCAGAGGGCAGGGCGTCCTGGGGGAACCTGTCCATCCCCAGCTCGGTGAGCCTGGCCGGAGGCTTGAAGGACAGCGCCGTTACGGAGCGCTTGTGGCTCGCCGCCTGCGCCGCGAGGTCAGCATGTCATCGTGCCTGCCAGAGTGTTCGCTGGCGTCGGGGTCTGAGGCACAAAAGTGGCGCGAGCGCTGGACACTGTACGCCAAGGCGACCTGCGCTGGCTGCACAACCCCACCCTCTGAAGACGGCCGCTTTCCGCTTTACACCACACCGAGGAGCCCCCAAGCACCCGGGAGACCCCCCCGAGCCCCACCCAGCAGGCCAGCCAGGCGATGCGAAGCGTACCGAGAATATGAGGAAGTCCGCTTGCCACAGGCCGTGGCTCTAGTGGCGTGCTGCTCCTGCCGCAGGCCAAGGCAGCGCACCCACAGAGGGGAGGCCACCAACCCCATCGAGGCAAACGGGCCGGGAGGCGAGCGCGAAGCGCGCACCGAAAGGACCGCAATCCTGCCGCTGGGACGGAAGCCCATCTGTTTTTCGCAGCGCAGGGGCCCACTACAAGGAAGCACAGTCACAAAGGCAGCTGCCAGACAGGTGGCCCGCCCAGACTTGGCAAACGGCCTGCGGGCAAGGGCGCCGCCGAACGTGCAGCACGGGCGGCTTCGAGGAGGCGCTGCTTGCGAGCGTCCGCGGGAAATTTGGTGTAGAAATTCCGCATCACATCTATGCTCGACCAACCTCCTTGGCATTGCACGAGCTCCTCAGGGAGGGAAGCGGAATTATTCAACCATTGCGCTGCGCCCTAGCAGGGAATGGCTGCCGATCTGGGCGCCGACGAAATGGCGAGACAGCATGCGTCGAAAACTATCCGCGGAAACTGGTTTCAGCGCGGCGATTTCCGTCACACCGAAAAATACACCTGCCTCTTGCCCCCGTGATTCTATCCGCTGGCTCACCCAGCCCCGAAGCCGCTTTGCCGGGCACAAGGGCCCGAGAGCTGGTAGCTCTCGGATCAAAATGAGAAGGCCTTCGCCGAAAAGGATCGTTGTTCTGCTTCCTGCTTCTGGGTTGGATTGCTGCTCCCTGGTCTACCACGCCACACGCTTGCAGCGCTTGCAGCTCAGAGACAGGCCGGATGCCAAAGAAAGCCAGCGCAACCATCGCAGCGCCCCTGACACCAGCCAGCGAATCTTGCGCCAGGCGGCTGCGCTGCATGGCCGCGGCTTCCGCTAAGGACAGCGGTCGCTTCGCCCGGCGCAGAGAATGGTCTGCAAGCTTCCTTTAGCCCCCGCCAGAACTGCCATGCTCGGGAAGTCCACGCGGCCTCGAACGCGCGCGGCAGATCGCGCACGATGTGCCAGGCCCTGACCGCTGCTTTGGCCGCCGACACAGAGCCCCAGGGCCGGCGCATAAGGCCAGAGAAGAGCAACGTGAGCTTCGACTCCGAATCGCACGGGGGAAGCGCCATATCTGCGGCCGTTTCAAGGTTGCCCACCATGCCGCGGAGAGTGGAATCGCAGCGGGACCTCGTGCTGGCCTCCCACGCTGCGCCCAGGCACGCGCGCGCGTTGGCCGCGGCATTCCCGCGAGCTTCACGAGCGCGCGGTCCGCAATCCCCAAGCAGGAAGCCCAGCGCCAGCCTCGGCCCCCGAAGCTGCCCGTCGCCCAAATTGTCTTGGGGCGCGCGCGCCCCGCCCTGCGCGGCACGGCCGCTGGCAATCAGGGACAGAAGGGCCCGAGCCCCTCCGCCCGCGCCGCCGCCGGAGGACTGGGCGGCAGGGGGCGCCCGCTGCCCGGCCCCAGAGGCGGCGCGAGGCCCCCGCGCAGGGAGGGGCCCGACCAGGCCCGCCCAAAGGCGCGGCGCCATGGACTGAGGCGCAGGGCCGCTGTCATCGGAGGCAAAATCACCCCCGCGCATATGATCGCCCATCTCTTGAGCCAGACTGGCCACGGAGAAGATGCAGATGCAGCATGAGACTCCGGCCAGACGGACAACGCCTGTTCATAGAGAAGCCTGACGAGCGGACACCCAGCAGAGGCAAAGGATCACCGTTTTTGCATTGCAAGGGCGGCTGAAGACAACGCGCCCGCGCGCGTGGCATCAAATACGGAACTGCATGTCGCGCGGGACAAACGTGGGAGGCCACGGGCGCGCGCGCCACGCGGCAGCACGGAGGCATGGACGCACCGCCCACGACGGGCAGTTGTCTCTAGCTCGACAACTCATACTTGCACTGAGCCACC